AAGGTTATGCTCAAAATCCTGCAAGGTAGGCTTCAGCAGTATGTGGACCGAGAACTCCCAGAAGTACAAGCTGGATTCCGAAGAGGCAGAGGAACTCGAGACCAAATTGCTAACTTGCGCTGGATTATGGAGAAAGCCAGAGAGTTCCAGAAAAATATCTACTTCTGCTTCATTGACTATGCGAAAGCCTTTGACTGTGTGGACCACAGCAGACTATGGCAAGTTCTTAAAGAAATGGGAGTGCCTGACCACTTTATCTGTCTCCTGAGAAACCTATATGTGGGACAGGAAGCAACAGTTAGAACTGGTCATGGAACAACTGATTGGTTCAAAATTGGGAAAGGAGTACGGCAAGGCTGTATACTGTCCCCCAGCTTATTTAACTTGTATGCAGAATACATCATGCGGAAGGTTGGACTGGAAGAAACCCAAGCCGGAATTAAGATTGCTGGAAGAAATATCAACAACCTCCGATATGCAGATGATACCACTCTGATGGCAGAAAGTGAGGAGGAATTAAAGAACCTTGTAATGAGAGTGAAAGAGGAGAGTGCAAAAAACGGTCTGAAACTCAACATCAAAAAAACTAAGATCATGGCCACTGGTCCCATCACCTCCTGGGAAATAGAAGGGGAAGATATGGAGGCAGTGTCAGATTTTATCTTCCTGGGCTCCATGATCACTGCAGATGGAGACAGCAGCCACGAAATTAAAAGACGCCTGCTTCTTGGGAGGAAAGCGATGACAAATCTTGACAGCATCTTAAAAAGCAGAGACATCACCTTGCCAACGAAAGTCCGAATAGTCAAAGCTATGGTTTTTCCTGTTGTGATGTATGGAAGTGAGAGCTGGACCATAAAGAAAGCAGACCGCCGAAGAATTGATGCCTTTGAATTGTGGTGCTGGAGGAGGCTCTTGAGAATCCCCTGGACTGCAAAGAGAACAAACCTATCAATTCTAAAGGAAATCAACCCTGAGTGCTCACTGGAAGGACAGATCCTGAAGCTGAGGCTCCAGTACTTTGGCCTCTCATGAGAAGAGAAGACTCCTTGGAAAAAACCTTGATGTTAGGAAAGTGCGACGGCAAGAGGAGAAGGGGACGACCGAGGATGAGATGGCTGGACAGTGTCTGCAAAGCAACCAACATGAATTTGACACAACTCCGGGAGGCAGTGGAAGATAGGAGGGCCTGGCGTGCTCTGGTCCATGGGGTCACGAAGAGTCGGACACGACTAAACGAATACAGCCCAATAATCCCAGCCTGGATCAGTCTAGACTCCAGAGAATGCTAAATAGGATTGCTTTCAGATGCAGTATGTCATTTGAGGCAATCCATGAATATGCGAGGACCGAATGCACTGCACCTCACGTGATCCTGTTCAGAATGATCTAGACTGCTTTTTCTCTTTAAAACTCTATGGTCTATCTCAATGTGTGACCATCTTTAAAGGGAAAGAAAACAAAAACAAAAATGCTCCTCCTGTCTGGTTGTTGTGGGTTTTTCGGGTTCTTTGGCCGTGTTCTGTTCTTCCTAACGTTTCACCAGTCTCTGTGGCCGGCATCTTTAGAGGACAGCACTCTGTGCTCTGGTGTAGTTGGCTTGGGAGTCGAGTATTTATGGCTGTGAGATGGGCTTTTGTCTTTTTCTGTAGATGGGTGATTAGTGTGTCTTGTTGTGGGTGTATTGTTGTGATAAGAAGGAGATTATCTGTCACTGTGGTTGATGGGTGTCATTAGCTGGTCTTTTGTGTGCAGTGATCCCCGGTCCTTGTGGCAATTAGACATCAAAATTTAAACAAAGATAAAAAACAATTTTAATATACTATATTTTAAAATCTTTATGTTTAATAAAACAAAGCATTCCTGACATACGTATTGCTTTAAAATCTGCCTGAAAAGGGAGGTCTCTTTACCTGAGATGGAAGGATAAGAGGGACGGGGCCAACCTTCTTGGAGCAGTACGTTCCAAAGTCCAGGAGAAACAACTGAGAAGGCCAGTTCTTGTCTCCTCACCAAACAAGCTTGGGAACGTGGTGGAACTGAGAGAAAGAGCCTTCCCCAGAATATCTTAAAAGCTGAGAAGGCTCATATAGGGTCATACAATCCTTCAAAGAGCCTAGACCCAACCCGAATAAGGGCTTTATAGGTCATCATGAAAAATACCCAGCAGTATTGATTAGAGATGGGGGTTTTCGTATACAAATATGAATATCCCCACACAGGTGGCGTTAACAAGGGTCCAGCCCCATGCGCCCAGACGATCCACTCACCAATCCGATGTGGACAGCGCAATTCTACAAATGGCTCCACAGCACGCGATCCACTCGCCACTCTTTGACCTTGCAGCAAGGCTTGTCCTCCTGCCTCCTGCCAGGAGTAGCAAACGGATCACACGCTGCAGAGCCATTCATAAAATTGCATCGTCCGTGGCAGATTGGTGAGTTGACCATCCAGTCCCATGGGGCTGGACCCTCATCAACACCACCTATGTGGGAATATTTGTATTTGTATATGAATACCCCCATCTCTAGGATTGATACATTTAAACATCGTTCTATCAGTTTTCATTTGCCCCAGAAGCAGTGTTTTTGTAAAACTCAAGAATCTGATGTGTTCAAAAGTCAATCCATCCCCAAATACTTTAACTTGAATCTTACTGTCAGCCCCAACCAGAAGCGATCAAATGAATCCACTGTTTAGTGGTAGAACATATACCGATGCTACTTTTTCCTACTAAAATTATTACACTAAAAATTGAGGGGCATCTTATGCACAGAAAGAAGCTGAGAGCACAGAGGGAACAAACCGGCCCGTACCTTGCATCTGTAAACAGGCTTCCTTCAATCACAAGGCTTATCTGCCTCCAATCAGGAGGCTTAGCTTCCTACAGTCAGTAAACTTGGCTTCCTCCAATCACGAGCCTTATGGATGCTGAACAAACCAACTGGGGCAAACCTATAGGTTCAGATTCAACAGGGACTCCTAATGTCCGAGCGTTCTGAGCCCAGAGGCTGAATATTCAAAACTAAGTTTTCTAAATTTGAGGCTTAGAAAAGGGGGGTGTCTTATAAACGGAAAAATGTGGTACATCAATTCAATGGGCCTTCTCTGGTTTCGTCCACTAATAGGATTCTGTCCTTTTTGTCACAATAGGAGACAACTTATAAAATCCAACTGTGAAACTCCATGTGCATGACAGCAATCATGCAAACAGTTTTCTCATTCTGATGGCCATCTGTCATGTATCCAGATGTGTAACTGACTGCACTATCAGTTGCATAATTGGGGAATGTTCAAGCATGCAATGGGAAACTGGCAAACCATTCATCCTGCTTGTGCAATTTCTGGTTTATGCTATGTAATTCTAACAAATTCTGAGAAACAACAGAACTGGCAAAAAGTGACTTTTTTTTTACTACAACTCCCAGAGCTCCCCAGCCAGTATGGCCACTGGGCTGGGAATGCTGCAATATGTAGTCCATATAAGTCACTTTTCAAGGCTCTGGAAAACAGAAAACGTCTTTAGGATCAATGCAGAAGGAAGTTTTAACCTTTCCTTTGCAATTTCTTCCCCAAAGCTCATCTGATTGCTGATCAATGACTGTGGGGCATAATGCGTAGACTCCCTAGGGCTTCACTGGGAAAACCCAAATGCTGTGGTTCAAAAAGTACTTGTATTCTGATATAGCATATGTTCTTAGGTACTTATGATGGAGGCGGGGGGAGGGGAGATGTGGACTTATCCATCAGTTGTACGGTATGTTAGTAATTTCTGAAATGCCAACACAATTCCATAACCATGCTCCTAATGAGAATCCAAAAACACAAGAAGGTTTGCTGATCTATATCCACAAAGAAATTCTAGCAACTTTCACCTCTGGCAGGTCTTTTGCAGAATTAATAGATCGTAATTACCCACTGAAGACCAACCCACTCCAATACTTTCTACTACAATTCATTAAAGTATATTACCGCTGTGAAAAATTCACACAACACCCATATTGTCATCTAACTACGACAGGTAAACTGAAGGGAAGGCTGGGGATAATGATGCTGGCAAATGATATCATCTTCTGTGCTAATCAGAAACCATCAGGCTTTGGATCTGTGACTCCTGGCTCTACCACACTACTGCTTTTTGTAAAAGAGCCCAGTAGTACCTTTGCTTTTAAAAAAAGCCTTCATTTAAAGCATCATTGGGCAAAACTCCTGTTTAATTTATCATTAGAATATCATTAAAAAGGCATATACCATTATGTAAAAAAAAAGCAAATAATGCAAACTGGCAAGCATCAGTGTGCTGCTTGCTATTTACTCTGCCTGATCTACCAGCAAAAGCTGTAGTTTGGGATTTCCTGTTTGTTCATGTCCCTGTCTGCCACCAAGAAGATGCACTGGAAACAGGTACAGTAGCACCCTGTCTGTTGTGCTCTGAAACTATTCACTTATTCCTTGCAAAGGTTCTGACTCAAAGGAATAAATTCAGGATGGAAAAGCAATGCGTCCCTAAGCTGTAATAAACAGAATCACACAAAGTGCCTTCCCATAACATTAAATGATGCCACTGTTCACCAATCAGAGCCAGAGATTCATATTGCCCATTCACCAATGAAAAGCAAGACACAACTCCAAAGAAGACTCAGCCATTTGGAACTAAAAATAAAGTATCTCACAGGGGTTTGTTTGTTTTCTCTGTGCAATAGGAATGATGGATCAGGACAGTGAGGAAGCTGTTTTGGGAAGGGCAAGGAAGAGCAGGATCCATCTGAAAAGAGCTGTGACAAGGCAGTAAATGAGGCAATTATTATCGTCTGTCTGTAGTGAGAAACCTCGACATAAACATATAGACTTGTGAATAATTCAGCATGTGCAAGTAAGGATGAAAAGAGCTCAACCCTCTGAAAACACCATATGCGGATTATATTTGCTCTTTTTTTCCTTTTAAAGCAAACAATTTTTTCTCCTACTATTCAGAATGGCTGGATCAGAGAAGTGCTTACCTGTCCTGCAGTGTCATACAGCCCAAGGAGATACTGCATGCCATCGACTGTTACACTAACTGAGGGAAAAAAAACAGAATAAAGTATGGCATCAGAAGGAAAGACCCACTCTTTCACACACACACAACCGCTCTCTTTTTTCAGCCTAGGAAAACCAAGAACTAAAAACAAGTATGGTTTCAATTACTCACTCAGACTCAACAATAATCATTATTTCTAAAAATGCCTGCTGCTGTGCAGGACACATTTCCAAAACACTTCAATTATGGACAAACAGTGCTAGAATAAGAGACCATATGCGACTCCCTATGAAGTTCCCAATGTGTGTTAAATATGCCTAATCTGTTAACACAGGTATTTGAGTTCTCCATGAGGTGGGGGTTGTGGTCACTGTTACGAGATAAAGAGTTCATAGAAAAAAAAGTCTTATCTAAGGCTTCTATATCCTTGATCCCCTAATAACAGTCACTGCCAATTTACAGCCACTTTGTGATGATAATAACAATTTTTGCAAAGGGGAGGGACACACACACAATAATTTTGGCAGACAGATGGGGTCAAGATAAAATGCCCTCCCCCTACCCTATCTTCTCCTCCATCATCCCTCTAAGAGCCACTTCAAAGGTAGCAGGTCAGACTGATGACTCAATTGAGGGGTGAGGAAGAGTTTTAAATGGGTAATTTTGGCACAGCAGTCAACAACAACAACACCAATTATCAACAATAATAACAATACGGACCAAAGCTTCTGTTTAAGGGAGTCAAGTAGGGAGGAAGGAGAAAAGGGAAATGGGATGGAGGGTGGGGGGGAAGGATAAAAAGACTAGGAGAAACCAAAGTTTTTATTCAAGTTCCTGCCGTCACTGGTGCGGTGGCAGTGATGCTGCCCGGGCAAGAGGGGCAGAAGTGGCCGGCACGGGGAGGGGTGAAGACCTTAGTCAGCACTTGCAAGTCAGACACGTTTCCTTTGCCCTCCCTTACCTGCGTAATGGTCAAAGACGGTGGGCACGTATTCCTCCGGAAAGGCGTCGTTGGCGTAACTCATGAGGAGGCAAGTTTTGCCCACTGCTCCGTCGCCCACCACCACGCATTTCAGCATGACCGTCCCCGCCGTCGCCCCCGTCCCGTTGGCCATGATGAGGCTTCCAGGCCGATCGTCATTTTAAAACGGAGAGA